ATATAATTATAAAAGTTATAAAATATAATTATAAAATAAAATTATCATAGTCTAATATATTTGGTGATTTCTGGGGATTCCCATAGCCACAGTAAACTGTTTTGGCCTGTTGTGACTTTTGACAATGCAAATAAATTATAATGGGTGTATAAAGAAGCCAGAATTCATCCACTGACCCCAGTCTTCCTCAATCTTTCATTTTCTGAGTTCTTTCATTTTCTGAGTTCCCAGGAAATCAGGCTCTGATTCTTTGGAATCAGATATCTCAGGTTCCAAAGGCTTAGCCTGATCTCAGGCAACAAATCTCTCAGATCTCATGGACCTCACTTTTTTGGTGTTCAGTATCTGTAACATGTCTATTTATTTGGTAAAAACTATGGTAAACTCCCTAGCATTCTACATTGATGTATAAGAGACATGATCAAAGGCAGAAACTGATCAAAGATGAAAAGGTGTGGAACTGATGCATTAAAGGACAGGGTACAATAGCTATTGGTCCTTATACAAGAACAGAGATGTGTTGTATCTTTACAGAGATAATAGAACGTTAAAGTTCTTAAGCCATGTAATACATTCACAAAGGAATAATTTTCCAAGTGAAGCAAAGTTTTCCGATTTCATCCCCATGATGTTCAGTTGCATACCACATTTATACCAAACATTCTCCTTTATCAAAGGGAATACATGTGTACAATACTCTCAGATAGGAAAAAGGAGATAGAAGATGCAGATTTTTCAGAAATCAAAACACAAATCTTCAAACTCTAGAGATATCTCTTGTTGACTAAAGTGCATCAATTTTAAACTTTGGTTCCTAACATCTTGCAGAACAGCTGCAATATCACAAGAAAATGGAATTAAATCAAGAGGAAATAAGTAGGAGGCATCCTCTAGGACCCTGGGATGCTCACAATCCCTGAGCCTCTTCCTGTTCATCCCCAACACTGTGCTCAGTCTTCTTCCGCCCCCAAGCTGTACCCCCCAGCAATCTTGTGTAACATCTCAGTCTCCATACCTCCACACCAACATGAAGAAACAACACAAATCCCCACCCGAAGGTAGGACAATGAAAAGAGTCCAGACGCCTCAGTTGGTGCTACTCACCTAAGGGACCTCACTGAGAAAGAATTCAGATATGAAGTAATGAAGTTGTTCAATGAACTCAATAAAGAGTGAGACAGATACCCAGTAAATTAAAGGAGGACATGAGAGAAACAATTGAGAAAATACAGGAAGAAATGGGAGCAGAAATTGGAAAGCTACACACAGAAATGTCACAAATAAAAGATTCCATAGATGAAATTAAAAATACTCAGTCTGTGCCCTCAACAGTAGAATGGCCACAGCTGAAGACAGAATCAGTGAACTGGAAGATCAGCTGCACGAAGTCAACAGGCAACAACAAACAATGGGAAAAGACCTCAAAATAGCTCTAGAGCGAATCAGAGTCCTAGGAGATGATTCTAAGAGAAACAACATTAGAATCATTGGAGTACCAGAAGGTCAGGGAAAATATCCCAATGAAAAAGCCATGGTCAAACAAATCATTGCTGAAAAGTCCCCAGAGCTGGACAATGCAGCCATTCAGATTCAAGGAGCCCGAAGGGTGTCAGCTAAAAGAGACCCTAACAAAAACACACTAAGACATATCATAGTTAGAATGAGGGATGCCATGGATAGAGACACAATACTGCAAGCAGCAAGGTCAAAGAAGGAAATCACATACAAAGGAGCACCCCTTAGATTCAAAGCAGACTTATCAGAGGGAACCCTCCAAAGCCCGAAAGCAATGGTGAGATATAGTGAAAAAACTCACTGAAATGAATGCTTCACCAAGAATACTCTATCCAGCTAAACTCTCACTCAAACTCAAAGGAACAATACACTATTTTTTCTATGAAGCCCATATCTCTTAATACCAAAAGGAAACAAAGACACTACAAGAAAAGAAAACTACAGGCTGATATCCCTGATGAACATGGATGCGAAGATTCTCAACAAAATACTAGCATATAGAATTCAACAACTCAAAAAGATCATGCACCATGACCAACTTGGATTCATCCGGGGGATGCAAGGATGGTTTAACATTCGGAAATCAATCAACATAATCCATCATATCATCAAAAGAAAAGATAAAATCCATATGATCTTATCAATAGATGCAGAGAAAGCATTTTACAAGATCCAGCACCCCTTTATAATGAAAATCCTAGCCAAAATGGGTATAGAGGGGACTTTCGTCAATATAGTTAAAACCATTTACCACAAGCTTACAGCAAGCATCATCCTCAATGGGGAAAAACTGAGAGCCTTCCCTCTAAGATCAGGGATGAGACAAGGATGTCCACTCTCTCCACTGCTGTTCAATATAGTACTGGAAGTACTTGCAATAGTGATTAGGCAAGAAAAATATATTAAGGGCATTCAGGTAGAAAACAAAGAAATCAAGCTCTCACTATTCGCTGATGATATGATACTACATTTAGAGAACCCTAAAACCTCTACCAAGAAACTCCTAGGAACAATAGACTTGTATAGTAAAGTTGCAGGCTATAAAATCAATACCCAAAAGTCCATGGATTTCCTATATGTAAATAGTGAGAGAGAAGAAAGTGACATGAAAAAAAAATGCTGTTCGCAATTGTGCCCCAGAAAATCAAGTACCTAGGAATCAGCTTAACTAAGGAAGTAAAAGACTTGTACAAATAAAACTTCAAAACACTACTTTAGGAAATAAAAGAGGACACAAGAAAATGGAAAGATATCCCCTTCTCATGAATCAGGAGAATTAACATTGTCACAGTAGCAATACTCCTAAAGCATTGTATAAATTCAATGCAAGCCCTGTAAGGATACTCATGACATTCTTCAAAGAAATGGAGCAAATACTCCTGAAATTCATATGGAACAATAAGCTCCCACGAATAGCTAAAGCAATTCTTGGGGAAAAGAAAATGGGAGGAATCAACCTCCCTAACATCAAACTTTTCTACAAAGCAGTAATAATCAAAACAGCATGTTTCTGGAACAAAGGCAGAGCAGCAGACCAATGGCAAAGAGTTGAATATACTGACATGTCCCCCCAAACATATGATCATCTAATCTTTGATAAGGGGGCAAGAAATGTGAAGTGGAACAGGAAAGTCTCTTTAACAAATTGGGCTGGCAAAACTGGACAACTACTGTTGGAATATAGCTCCAAATATTTTAGGCTTAATATTGGTCTGCCCTTTCCCCCTTGCCACGAGGAACTCAGCTTGATTGCAGTGCTCCCGATGCACTTTCATTCCATTGTGTTTATCTGTAAACTTCCCTACGCTCTCTTCCCCAACCAGTTAATCAGCTTTTCCCCTAATCAGAATCTGTTAATTATTTGTAAGGTCAGATCCTTCTAGGACACTGAAATTGTATTATAAGTTAACATTTCCTTTCTCCTATCCTTATGCCTTTTGAATAGTTTACTTTAAAACAATGCCTTTTTTGTATAGATGCAGAAAGACTGTGAATATTATGCTTTGTAACTTAGGATTTAATTGGCTCTGAATATTATTCACTCCCGGGTATCTGTTTTCTCGGCTTAAGCCTCAGTTGCCCTTAGTTCCTAACACCCCAAAAGCAGGGGCCCGACGAGAGACTGAATGGACCCAGGTGAGCTATCCTGGCATCAAAATGGGCCAGGGCAAAGTGCCATGATTCTTAACTATAAGTTAATAGTTTGATCATAGACAAATTTTGTCATGATCCAAAAGTAACGATGAGACTAGGGCCCTGCTAGGAATAGGAAAGACTATCTGGCCCGAGCATTGTAGTCTGAGATTGAGATGGCCCTAGGAGAGCAATTGTATAAGTTTAAAGGTATTTCTTACTGTATCCATACAAAATAATTTATATTATGTATGCTTATATGTTGGACAAGGAAAGGAGAAACACACCCAGGTGAGTTGATCTATAATGAGAATCTGTCCTAGAAGTAGCTTTCCCCGAGGGAAAGAATTCTACCCCTATTGATTGTGACCACACTTATGTGTAATTGTTACCCCAACCCCTCATGCTGGGGGATATAATAAGACTGTAAGAATTGGCAAGGAGAGGCAGAGGAGAGAGACAGGAGTGGATGGAGAGAGGATTGGAATAAACTGCAACTAAGACCAACGAGCCTGGCCCTCGTTCCTTCCTTCGCCTGCCTATCACCATCGACCACCCCAGGGGGCAGAAACCAGCTTGAAAATACCAAATGAGGGTAGCGGGAGAGATAGACTGCCACTGCTGTCTTTTTTGAGAGATAGAACACTGCCATCTTTTTAAGTTTACACAAGCTACATGCAAAAAAAAGGGCTCAGATCTCTGCCTAACACCTAACACCATGTACAGAAGTAAGATCAAAATGGACTAAAGACCTCAATATCAGACAGGAATCCATAAGGTACATTGATTCAAGGTTGGCAAAACCCTCCACGACATTGAAGCTAACGGTATCTTCAAAGATGTCACTCCACTGGCCAAGCAAGTGAAAACAGACATAGACAAATTGGACTATCTTAAACTAAGAAGCTTTGCACCTCAAAAGAAACAGTGACCAAAATACAAAGACGGTCTACAGAATAGGAAAGGAAATTCGCCCAATAAATGTCTGACAAGAGTTGATATCAAGGATATACAAAATACTGGTTGAACTCCACAAGAAGAAAACATCCAACCCCATCAAAAAAATGGGGCAACAAAATGAACAGAAACTTTCTCAAGGAAGAAATTCGAATGGCAAAAAGGCACATGAGAAAATTCTCTACATCATTAATCATCAGGGAGATGCAGATCAAAACCACAATGAAATACCATCTCACACCACAGAGACTGGCCCACATCCAAAAGAACAAAAGTAACTGGTGCTGGTGCGGATGTGGCAAGAAAGGGACACTCCTTCACTGTTGGTGGGAATGCCGACTGGTTCAGCCCTTTTGGAAAAGAGTATAAACGATTCTCAAAAAATTAGAAATTGAGTGCTCACTTAGGCAGCACATATGCTAAAATTGGAACAATACAGAGAAGATTAGCATGGCCCCTGCGCAAGAATGACAAGCAAATTCGTGAAGTGTTCCATATTTTAAAAAAATAGAAATTGAGCTCCTATTTGACCTAGCAATACCACTCCTGGGAATATATCCCAGATAGGCAAAAAAAAGTATAGTCGAAGTGACGTCTGCACTTGTTTGTTCATTGCAGCACTGTTTACAATAGCTAGAATATGGAAAAAACCTGAGTGCCTGAGAACAGATGACTGGCTAAAGAAACTCTGGTACATCTACACAATGGAGTACTATGTAGCTGTTAGAAAAGATGTTATTCGTCAATTGCCTCGAGCAGGCCCCAGTAACGTCTCCTTCATCCTAGCCCTGAGATTAAATTCAAGGCTCTTAAGGAGAATGAGACTCATCATTATTAATGGTATTTGGCATATTGGGTACGCCACGGGGAGTTTGCCAGACTCTGCCGTGTGGGCAGATTACATTCGGTAGCCTGCCAGTTTGTCCAAAGTAGGAATGAGATAATAAGATGTCATAATAAGATGTCATAATAAGATGGGAGCTGGTTTTTATAGTCTCTGAGTCTTGGCCGCTGATGGGATTACACGGCGCCAGGGGGCCAGTTGGTGGGTGTGACCCCCACCTACTGGAATTTGGAGGATCTGGGTGGAGGATGCTCGGCCCCAATCCGAGTAGGCTTGGAGATCTCTTTTCATCTTAGAAAAGATGAAGTCATGAAATTTACATACAAGTGGTACTACATGGAAAGTATCATGCTAAGTGAAATGAGTCAGAAAGAGAAGGATAGACATAGAAAAATTGCATTCATCTGGGGAATATAAAGTAACAAAATAGAAGACTAAGACCCAAGAATTGCCGAGATAAGTACCAGGAGGTTCAGTCCATGGCTTGGAGGCCAGCCGCACATGCTGGGGGAAAAGGCAGCTCAAATAGAGAAGGGAGCACCAAATAAATGGTGTTGGGAGGATCCTCCCAGGATGGGAGAAGCATGCTGAAAGTAGACTCTAGACCAAACATGATTGCCACTCCTTGCCTCTTTTGCAAACCACAACACCCAAAAGGAGAAAGAGAACAGAGGGGAATGCCCTGCCACAGAGGCAGGGTGGGATGGGGGATTGGGGGGGTGGGAGGGATTAGTGGTGGTGGAGAATGGGCACTGGTAGAGGGATGGGTACTCGATCATTGTATAGCTGAAACCCAAGAACAAAAATCTGTAAGTCTACAACTGTACCTCATGGTTTTACACTAATAAAAACTTAAAAAAGAGAAAATAAGTAGGATTTCTGTAATATAAAAACATTCCATATAGGGAATATATAACTATAATTCTTTCCAATGACTATTATAGAGGTGACACCATTCCAGACTTTTCTGAATGACATTCATCTAATCATAGAGTATTCACATCCATTCTGGTAATAAATCACATATCTTTGAGATGTAATTGTTGAGGATATGACACATGATTTAGATTATATTTTACCAGTTTGCCCTCAGAGGATCCAGTCACCAACAGAAATATTACTTTATTTCCCAGGGTCATAATTGCACCATACTTTATATGTTTTATGTCCAATCTTAAATATTATGATAACATCAAATTTATACATGTTTGTTGAGATATTAGCAAAATATAAGATTTTTTTTGTTTTTGCTTTTTGGGTCACACCTGGGGACACACAGGGTTACTCCTGGCTCTGCACTCAGGAATCACCCCTGGCAGTACTCAGAGGACCATATGGGATGCTGGGAATCGAACCTGGGTTGGCCACGTGCAAGGCAAATGCCCTACCTGCTTTGCTATTGCTCCAGCCCCAATATAAGATATTTTTATGGAGAAATTTTGCTATCTTATATTGGTTCCTAGGCAAAAAACTTTTGTTCTACACCCTGCTCTATTAGCTTATTAGAAACTTACTTGGGAGATTAATTTTTTCCAGTATATAACAATTTATTCCCTAAACTTAAAATTCTTTTAACTCAAGAACTTGAACTATTTTTCTTTAAAAACTGTGCAGAGGGGCTGGAGTGATAGCACAGCAGGTAGGGCATATCCCTTGCACGCGGCCTATCCAGGTTCGATCCCCAGCATCCCATTATGGTCCCCTGAACACCGCCAGGAGTAATTCCTGAGTGCATGAGCCAGGAGTAACCCCTGTGCATTGCCAGGTGTGACCCAAAAAGCAATAAATAAATAAATAAATAAATACTGTGCTGAATTAAATATAAAATTCAGCTTCCTATCAGTTTTTAAGCAGTTTTTGAGGTAGACAAGGCACATTGAGCATATAGAAGAAGAAGAGCATATTTTATCCTGTTGAGAAAAAAACAGATGGTACATTTATACAATAAGGCCAAAAATATCTATTAAACTTTAAGCAATAAATTCTTCCAAAAGAAACAATTAATCAATAAATACCAAATTCTCTCATAGGTTGTCAACCTAAAAAATTTTTTTTCAGATTATATAATAAAGGTAAAGGTAAAGGCCCTCCCGTTGATCGTCGATTTGCTCGAGCGGGCCCAGTAACGTCTCCATTGGAGACTTTGTTGTTACTGTGTCTGGCATATCGAATACTCTCGGTAGCAAGAGCTTCCAAATTAATTGCTTGACTTTCACATACCCTTGATGTCTTATCAAAATACTTCAGAAAACTAAAGAGAAATGTAATTATATGCTTTAATATTTAGAATTCATGAGAATAATTAAATAAAAATATGAAAATGTAAGAATTAATTTCATAAAGAAAAGGTAAAGGTAAAGGTAAAGGTCCTCCCATTGTTCGTCGATTTGCTCGAGCGGGCCCAGTAACGTCTCCATTGGAGACTTTGTTGTTACTGTGTCTGGCATATCGAATACATCACGGGGGGCTTGCCAAGCTCTGCCGTGTGGGCGAGATACTCTAAAACACAAGAAATTGGTACTGGAGAAGTAACTCAAAGATTAGAATATATGTCTAGTGTTCACCAAGCCTTGAGTTTCTTTTCTGGTACCATATGGCCCTCTGAGCACTGAAAAACAGTGCTAGGTGTAGACCTACTGGCCTTAGAATACCCAAAGACCAACACCACTACACCATATCATGTACGAAACTGTCAAGTCTAAAGTATCTAACATCACCAGGAGTGGCCCAGCAAAGCTGGCACCTCAGCACCACCGGGCGTGGTTATTTTAGTTTTTTTTCTTTAAAGAAACTCCACCTATGAGAATTGTTTTACTTTTGAGTTCTAACCTTTGATTTATTTAATACTTTTGGTTTAACAAAAGTGGATAGAAAACTACTAGATAACTTCAGTTTCTGTGTATTTTTAAGAAATGAATCAGGAAAGAAAAAAAGTTTGCATAGGTGCCTAAAAGTATATCATTAAGGAAAATATCCTTCAGGAAACGATATGAGAAGATATAGCACAGTGTTGATATTATTGACTACTTTGGTAAGCATCCTAGTTATAGATTAAACAGAAATTGGTATCAATTGTTTCTTTGGTTAAGAAAATAAATACATTAACAAACTAGTAAGGGAGACCCAAGTCTAAATTATTTTCCTTTATCTTCTGTTGATCAAGATTCTGTAATTCACAATATGGTTAATGATTGTTTCTCATACATATAATTCCATTAGAATAAGTTATCCATCAAGATATTTCTAAAGAAATAAAGTGGTGATTATGTACAGTTGGAAAGCATCAGTGCTTTTGGTCTAAAATACCTTTCAAAATATAATAACTCTAAACTACTGACTAAAACTAAATATTTCGTGATTCCAGAGATTTTCGTTCTGTAATCATTAATTTCACTATAAATTTCAAGTTATTGGAGGAGATCTGGCGAAGATTACACATTCCTAATCCCAGAGTGTATCACCTACCATTTCACACCTGTTATCTCAGGTAAATCTCTTTATCTTTCTTTCTTGACCATTACAGGAAGTGCCCTCTCTTGTCAGGTTAATTACCCAAAGCTGCTGAATGAATGTGGTAGGGTGTGTTTGGGAAGTTGGGTGGTCACACTAGAGAGCTCTAGAAGGAAAATCATGCTAGTTGAGGCTTTTTAATGTTTTTATAAAACAGGGCTCAGGCATTTCCAGAGTCATAAATTGTCACATGAAGTCAATGATCTCATTTTCGTGATATTTGTTATTGAAAGAAATATGGATAACAACTTGTCTTAAAATCATTTCATGATGTTGTGGTAAATATCAGACCAGCCCAGAGTGCTGGCATTTTGCACTACATTTAAATTATAACAAACAAAAGAACTTGCTTGATTCTTCTCGAACAAAAGAAGTAGAAATGCAAAACCATCCTATGTGAAAAAGTCTACTCCCATTTTTGTCATGAGATACGGTGCAATGTTTCCAAGATTATTTTTATTTTGTATGTACCCCGTAGTGTTCAACATTTTAATTGCCACTTCCTCAATAAAATTATTGGAAATCTTCCATCTTGCCATTAGCACTTGCAAAATAACTGTTAACAATATGTTATCCAGACACAGAAACTTTATAATTAATGTTGGAAGAGTCTTCAAAGTCTAGTGACTAAAATATATCCTATAAAAATTACTGGACTTCATTCAATGCTGTTCTGCTGTTTTAAAGTTCAATAAATGTGTTGAGGGGGAGATATTTGGCAACTTAAGTTGGGCAGTCTGGCAACAAGACCTGAGATTCTAGTGGGTTTGATTTCTGTTGTGTGGTAAATGTACCAGAGACTTCCAGAGTTTTAGTGCAACCCCTTAAAGGCTAAAGGAGATCTGACCAAATGCAACTCCCAGTGGGAATCGGAACCGTCATTTGGGGCTATATTCCCACCTTGTCAGTTGATGAGGCACTGGGACAGGTTCCATTTGAGCAATAAAACACAACAGACCATGTATATATCTGGGTGATTATAGCATAACTCGGATTGTGTTATAAGTCATAAGGCTGAAGGCCAAGTGTCTTAACTCCATGAGAAGTGCAATATTGGCCCTGAAACACACTGCCTGAAGTGTCTTATTGCTGTCAAGAAATGGAATTTCTACAGTACATTAAGAAAAGGAAAACACTTAGCACAGTGG